AATTACCCAATTTTAGATTAATTTTAATATAACTTCAATATTTTGTAAAAAATATGGAAGATAAATTATTTAGCAAAGTAATTAATAAATATTTTTGCCTTAAATTGTAAAAATAAATGTTTTATTTGAAATTGCATACCTACATATTAACCGTTGGTATATCACTTCTTGTTTGATATTCAAAAATAAATTTAAAGAAGAATAATTTTCTTTTGGGTGGAAGTTTCAGGTTAGGTAAAAAAATATGTAGTAAATTTATTTATTTATTGACCACAGAACAAAATAGCTTTTGTTAACTCACTTCTAACTCTTATTACATTATTCAGTTTTTTACCTTCGTGGTACAATCTAATGTTGCAATAATGGAAACAAATGATCTTTATTAGATTAAACAAATGGTTTGTTTCAAACTCATGATCAAACATATGTTCTTTGTATGCGTTAAACACAAAACCATGCACATTACTCATGACATTTAAGATCAATTTTGTCATTATTTTGGAACCGTTTAATTTTTTTGAATTGTACATAAATTTAATTTCGCTTTCAGCAATTTTGCAAATATGAATAAGGTCTTTAGAAGGTTGAATTAAAAAATTATTTGATATGCTATAATTTTTGTGTCTTATGAATGGAAATTGTAAATTATCACATTCAATTGCACACAAACATATGTCACAACCTAATGTTTTCTTAACTTTCTTAACGATAAACCCAGCGATGTAGTCAACAACATCACAAACATAAGATGACAATGTTCATGAAAAACTTAAATTATTTACAGTTTAATCCTGATCCTGGTTACTAGTTATTGTTTCCCTATTATTTTCATCAGTTATAAAGTTGTCAATGAGTTGATGATCAACAGTTTTCATATTCACAGTATTTGTTGTGCTCTATTTTCTAAGCCTTCTATTTCGTTGTTGCAACATTTTGATTTGTTTGCTTTTCCTCTGAATTAATTTGTTTACTACTACTTTATACCCCTGGTCTCTGTTAGATGATCCTTGTTCAAAGTCACCAAGATAGTGTCTTCGCTTTTTCAAGGGAGGTTTTAAGGTGGCTTCGTCTGAAATTTCGACAGGAGTCTTTATGGTGGTAGATTCACTCATTATATTTGTATTTTCCCTTTTAGATCCTGTTGGTTTGACTGAAACAGTTTCTCTTTTTTTTTGTAAATTTTCTAGTTGTAACTTGCTTAATAAAGCTAGTTTGAAAATCGGAAATGCTAGGTACAGCATCTTTTTTTAATTGTTTTTTTGATCTCCAACCGCTAGTAATATACGAATCCGTTGTGAAAAGTTTGGAGCACATTTTAGAACTCTTTGTTGGTTTAAAATTTTCACGGCGCATCGCTATAATCCATTTTTTTTGTAATGATGAATCTTTAGAAAATCTAAAACAATTTATTTACTTAATCCTTTAGTTTTTAATCTAATTATAAAATAAAAATTATATATAAGACTCTCTATCTCATATGTATCTATTTTAAACACTGTGTCCCTTTTTTGTCGCTGCGTACAATTAAATGCACTGCAAGATGCCACCATAATTAAAATATTAATGTATTGGAAAATTTTTAAATTGAAACACTAAAAAGTTCACAACGCTTATCAACACTTCTAATCTCTACCGTTTCTGCCGCAAACTGACGTTACTCACAGCTGTCTGAATCGTTTTATGTTGGCTTCACTCCTCTAGACGAGAGAATAGCATTACGGCGCGTCTATCAGTTTTTATGGTCTAAGGGAAAAACAGTTTGCAGATAAAATCTAAATAAGAAAAAGTATCACACAAAGAATGATGCACACTATCACCCATCCCATTCAGGATGTATAAAAAAAATTATTTAATACTTATTATACCAGATTTTGTGACACGTAATACTAATGAGGTCAGAAGTAATTCCAAAGCTTTTCATTAAACAGTGTAATAATATTGTGATGATTCTCACAAATAAATCGAATATTAATTCTCTAGGATTTTCCGAATGACCTTGTGATTTAGAAGCTTCATCTGCACTTGTTTCAATTGCTACTAACTCTCCTTTTCTAATTGCAGAAATTCGCGTGGTTTGTAACCATTTTTTGTTTTTCGCTCTTCGCTTAGATGGCACTATATAATTTAAGACTTCAATCCGCTAATGTTAATCATATACGAAACTAGCACAGGCCATCTTGTTGTTTCGTTTTTGACTATGTCCGTTCGGATAAGCTTGTTCATGATGTCTAAACCTGACTTTGTTTTATTGCAGTCAAGAATTATTTGCGGCTTTTCATCTTAAGAAATTTTACCACTATTATGCATGATTGATAGCAAAGTAACCTTTTCTTTTTTATGGTAGTAGTAGGTAGACATACCTTTATGTTGGTAACCAAATTGTATTAAATGTACATCCCTCCTACGTACATTTACTTATTCCTGAGGAAGTTCTGGTTTACTTTTTTGAAATGTTTCAAGTAATTTTAAGTTTTGCTTGTCAAGTTTTCTTGCAAGATCAACGCTTGTTAAAAAATTGTCAGTAGTCACATTTCTTCCAGATCTTTTCATTTCATTTGGCATCTCTAAGACAACTCGCTTGCTTTGGTTGCGTTTACGTTGGTCTCCGGTTTTACCACTATACAGTGATGAGTGCTTTACCACCCGGCTTTTCATAATAAGAGATAGAAAACACAGTTACCTTGTGAAATAAAAAGAGATGAAACTCGTAGAGGTGGGAAATAATCGATAGAAACCTATAATTTATATTACATTGCATTACCACCATCGATAGTCTCACACCTTTAGACGCTAGACGTGGCTATTTGACTTCGGTCATAATTATACGGATAACCTCAAAAATATTTTATTTTAATATCTTCTGATGTTAGAATAAATACTTGAATAAATTAAGATATATTATAGTAAAAAACATTCATTGGTAGCGATTTTAAATTATAAATCTTTAAGTTTATTTAATAATAAAAATAACTCAACTGAAATATTTGACCAAAATAAAGGTAGGTATGTTCTGTCCGAAAAGAATTAAGTATGTGGAGTTGGTGTAGTAGTTAGGGACGTTGTCTATTGACAAGAAAATTGGGGTTCAATTCACACCAAGGATAAAATTTTTGTTTTATCAATTAAAAAATAATAGAAAATATGATACATATTAGGTAACAAATTTTCGAAAAACTCATTATTTACAATTTATTTTTATTTCAATGTTATAAAACGAAAATACAAAATAATTCAAATTCAATTTATACAGTCTTCAGTTGTGAATGCAAAATAATCCGGTGAAGACTGTTTATATCAAATCCATCACTAAATTCTCAACGTTAATATCAATTCCTCAGTACAGGTAATGATTTTCAACACAATTGACAATTGTAAATACGTTTATTTACAATATTTTTTTTTATTTTTGTAGGATTTTTAGTTATTTAAACATTCTTTAAACTTAAATTTAATTAAATTCTTAAATTCTTTAGATTAATTTTTACTTTATATTCGAAAGTACGACGGACACTTATTTCAATAAAATATTTATGTTTAACTTTAAACACTTCTAATACTAGTAACGACTGACATAAATGTTCAAACGCAAAACGATCTCTGCATAATTTCAAATTATTAAAAAAAAAACACATGTAGAATTTGAACTCTAATCGTCTGCACCGCAGTGTCGAATTCTTACTACTAATCCACGATGGATTGATAATTAATTATTCCGTGACAAGAGCAGAGAACTAACGACCACAGTTAGAGACCTGTGTTCGTAGATCTGTGACAAGCAGTATGAAACTCCTAAAATGGTAGTAGAAATTATTTTTGGTTAATAATTTAAAACTTTAGATTAAATTTAAATAAAAATTTAAATAAAATTAATTTAGATTAAATAATCACTATTAATTAAATTATTTTATTCACATTTTTGCTTTATTAAGGTCAGTTTTTACTTTATGAGACATTAAAGAATGGAAATACGTCACACATACGACGTCAAACATAATAATTATGACCGAGGTGATTTCGCTCGAAGCTAACGTCTAAAGGTGTGAGACTATCGATATTGGTAATATAATGTAATGTAAATTATAGGTTTCTATTGATTAGTTCCCACCTCTACGAGTTTCATTTCTTTTTATTTCACAAGGTAACTGTGTTTTCTATCTCTTACGTTAAAAAGTCGGGTGGTAAGACACTCAGCACTGTATATTTGGCCATTGTGCACATATGAAATTTGACTGTCGCATACGGCATAACTCTTTATTACGTACTTCCCTGGTTTTGAAGGTATATAGTGCAGAAATCTGCATTTACCATGGAAAGAAAGCAGCTGCTCATCGACGGTCAAATTTTCGTAATCAAACTTCTGAAGCATACTATAAAAACTTTATTAAAATAAACTATAAAGGGGTAATGATTATTTTTATTAGGGTGATAATTAGAGGATGCTTTTCACGTTTTTTGTCGCTGAAAAAAAAAGACCAACTTTAGTTTTGTCCAATCTCCCATAGAATTGGCGCTAGAAATTTTTGTAAAAAATAATTTTTAATATTTTTTTAAGCACTACAAAATTTTTTTCATTAAAATGCATTGGTAACTTCATATTTTACGTTAAAACCTTTAAATTTGACATTTGACGAAGAACCAAATTTCAATAATAAGATTTTTTGTCCTCTTGTATTTCTATACTTCTCCACTTGTATCGTAAACAAAAAGCATAGTCCCAACACTCTTTTTGTTTTTCATAAGCTGCACCTTTTATAAAGAAACCGTGCGAATTTTTTTTGTTTTTAATTGACATTTTCACTTTCGAAGAAGTCGAAAATTATTGCTTTCAAAATTTCCAGTGTTATTTTTAGTAAATATTTTTTACCCCTAAAGAGGGGTGAAATCTTCCCATCCCTGGTCAAAGCACCGTAGTGCACATGGTCAATTTTAATGGTAAGGAAAAAAGGTATGCGTGAAAATGTTCATTAAGTGGACTACATTGCAATAAAATATTTACTTACCGGAGCAAAGTTCCTGGACAGGCCATGACCAAAAACCTGAAAAAATTGAAAAATTAAAATTATAGTTTTATACCTTAATTGGTCTAAAAGCACAGAAATATTACTAGAATTTAGTTTCACTACTTATGGGTCATCGTCCATGCCAAAAAATGGGTAAATGGAGTTAATGTATTCAGGGCATTTTATTTCATATGCTCAAACAACCTCTAAAAATAATACAATTGAAGAATGCTAATAAATGGTACACAGACATATGAAACACACATAATATGTGTCTAGTAAAGTAATTTCTACAAAAAGTGCATCAAAAAGACTTCAAAGTGTGGACTGAATACATTTAAATAAAGATTGAAGTGGATAGTGAAGACCTTTAACGCTGTTGTTAGTCCTGGCCAAATCATATGCTGTATTTTGACGATGATTCCATAAGTTTGGAGAAAATGCTTGATCTCATCTATATTCATTTCTTAAGGCTCATACTCGAAAATCCTAACGGTAAATTTCAGTGGGCTATCTCTATTTCAAAAATTTCTTTCTTTACGAAAACAAAATCTGTTCATGCAGTAATATTCTAAACTTCGTTCAGATATCTCTCTCAAGTCCAGGTCAAAAATGCGTTAATCTTTTACTCGAGCCGATTATATAATTGGGACAACCCCTGAAGTGACAGGTTTTGGGCTTACAGTAAAATCATAAATTTCTCTTTAGTGATGTTTTGAGTAAATAGAATAACAGATCAAAGTAATATAATCTATTGATAAATTTACAATGTAACAAAGGTACATACATAATTTATTTGTTACTTCTTTACGGAAAAATTGACGGTCTTAATTTTAACGTAGATTAAAGTTTACGGAAAATAAAAACTTTAAACAAAGATTATAATTATATATCATAAAAATTTGATTAGTATCACGATCATTAAAATTGATAAAATGAAACTATATAAATATAGAATTATGTCTAATATTCCTTGAGAAGGTGTTCCAAATAAAAATTATAATAAAGATCTTGCAATTTTTATAGCATATTTTCCCACAGTTCCATATCTTTATCAATCTTTTCAAATAAAATATTTTTTTGGGGTCCATACCGCAAACTGCGCAAACTAACAGTATTCTCTATTCGATATAAATATCAAAATAACTGTCCTTGCACTGAATAGTAATAGGAATAAGTTCTTTTTAAAATTTCTTGAAGGAAGGAATAATTTAGTCACGCTATCATTTCCAATTTTGATTTTTAATATTGAATTTGATAGGTTGTGGTTTATTACACCAAAATCTAATAAAATATGACATGACACAAGAAATAGTTTCCCAATAAGTTTGATGTGTTGTTTATTATCATTCAGTAAGAGACTAATTTACTTATTACAATACTAATCTAACAGACAATTATTATTGTCAAATGAAAGAAATAAGATAATTTACTTGTGGTTAGTAAACGTCGGCCCTATGCAACTAATTGTCAACAAAGAACAGGTTACAAAAGTTTAGATTTATGAGATTTATGAGGAGCATTTATGAAACTTAGATGTATACTGAATACTTATTGCAAAAGGATTTTTAATTTGTTATATGTAAATATACTCCAAGATCTAGAGAAAATGGGAGTGCGACAATGGGAATTACTGGCACAGGACCGACAAATATGGGAGGCAATAGTAACCGCGTCAAAGACTCACGAAGAGTTGAAGTGCCATTGATGATGATGAAATATACTGTATTACTATTTACATGGATGTGAAATATGGATCATGAAGGATAATATGATGAACAATTTAGGACGTGACTCAGGTATATGATAAAGTATGGCAAAGATGCCATAACTATAAACTAAGACTACATTTACCAAAACGATACTCTTAAATAATTGACTCTTGCATCTTGTAAAGATATTTCAGAATTAAACAGGAAGAAACATACACGGAACAGAAAGAAATTACAGCAGGACTGCCACAAAGAACTGTATTTACCTTTTTTATACGTGTTATATGATTGTCCTAGAAAATATTACAATTGCAACATTTACCGATGATACTGCTATCATAGCAATATGAAAAACCAGTGAGGAAGCTTCAAAGAAATTACGCAGATGTTAATCAAATATATACTCCAGGGAAATAAGCAAAAAATAGACCTTGTTCGTAACACTCAATAATCCAGGTCACTGACAAGTTTTTAGTTATTGTAGACCTATAATAGGAAAAAAACCTACTTGTTTCCTGCCTTGAATTTGGAGCCGTTTTTTAATTATTAACAATTAAAGGCAAAAAACGCAATCTTTTCTATGATTATTAATGATACTAGTGTTAAAAAAGTAGATTTTTGGAAGAAAATTATTTTTTCACGAATTGTTTAAATAAACGAGACTATTAATTAATTAATATATAAACAAATTTCATATTTGTAATGTACGTAGAAATTACATACAAATTAAAAAAAAATAATCAAAATCCATTGAGTAGATCTGAAGGTACAGAAAATTTTATTAGTTTGAAATTGTTTGTTCGGTTTTTAAACTCCATGGATTTGTAGTTTCTTCCTAATCACCATTTGAACTACATTTTTGAAAATTCGTAGAAAGTAAAGATACAACATTTGTGCAAATTTTATATCAAAAAATACAAATGCCATTCTTTAACATGGTGTCAAAGAGGTTCCTTAATTATTATAATCAAATTAGCTGTGAACTAACAAAAAAACATTGCTAACTTTGGCCCAAATTTTAATTGTAAAAAAGATTTCTTCTAAGGACAATGTTTTTAAAGTTATTCTAAATGTTTATAAACTACATAATTTCAAAAATTTGACATGAGGATTTTTGATTATGATAAATCATTTTTTTACCTTTTTTTAATACTTTTTGATGGTATTCTTTTGCTTTCATTTGTTACCCACAGCATTACCCTATCTTTATTATTTTCTGTCTTATGTTATTGTAAAAACAAATTATATCTCCTCTGGGATAAACTTATACAATAATTTTTAAAATAATTAATATATCGGTTCCAAATTTTGAGGGTTTGTTAAGTACCCCAATACCCAACCTTGGCTGGAACTCTAAAGTTTAAAATTGTTTAATCAAAGTTTTTAACAAATATCAATTGTCACTTATTCTGCAGTTTGTAAAGCAACAAATTGACTTTTCAACTTACAGAAATCGGCATTTTGAAGCTTTGTCAATATTCTGAAAAATAAAATTTTATAATTTTATGTCAAATATTTAGCATTCTAATGGAGTGAAAAAAATCGCGTTTTTTTGCATTAAATCGAATCATTAAAAAACGGCTCCGAACTTTAGGCAGGAAACAGGTAGGTTTTGTTCTTCTATGTCTACAATAACTAAAAAAGTTTTCAGCTACCTGGATTATTGATTGTCACGAGAAAATCCTTATTACCCTGGGGCCTGGACTAATATGACTGGACAAGTAAGTGACGAAACAAACTTCATATATTATGTAAACTTTACTAACAAAAACGTTCAAAATAATTATTCCAATAAATATAAATATTCAAATTCCATATTCAACCCCCTTTGTGGCTCAGTGGTAAGAGCGCCTACCTTAGAACGTAAAGGTCGTTAGTTCGAATCTCATCTGGGTGGAGAAATTTTCGTTTATTAAAAATTAATAGATGAAAATAATTTATATCCTTGTGCGATCGGTACTCACCGGAGGACCGCAGACGTTCGGATACAATTAGCGTCTCTTAGCAAAGACAATGACGTCGACTTTGCTAAGTATCAAGAAAATTACTCTACACCTGCACACACACTACACTAGGTACCTGACTGTAAAAATTCACTGTACCATGCCAATGACCATTAGTTGTCGACGCATTAAACTCAATAACAAAAATTGATATTCAAATACTGCAAAATATTTGGATATTACTCTGAGTTCATGTAAAGAAGAAAAGAAAATAATAATTCTGATTAAAATACAAAAAAATGTACTGACCGATTGACCAAAATTTTATTCTGTTGCTACATAATAAATTATAATTATATGAGTAAATACTAAAACAATAGTATTTTATAAAAACAGTATAAACATTTAGAAGGAAAATGTCACAAATCAACAGAAAATATTTTTATTCATATAAAAATTTAATGAAACTATAGGTACTGCTTATTTATACAAAATTTCCTCAATCGTCGTCGACTTTTTCGTCCGCAACGTAAACGTCTTCGCGAACTACCCATTTTAAATACAATTAACACACTGGTTTGTAAAAAGTCGGAATAAGCCCTAATAATATTATTCAACAGTATTTATGACTTCCCCCCTCTTTCTTACCTACTCGTCGGCGAGAGTCCAGAAACTATCAACAAGGACAGCCTGTACTGACAGAGAGAGAGTAACATTTAGCACAATTTAAGATTTTTAAAAAAGTCTATATGAAATAGCTGCTTTATGTTACACTTTAGTTAAAAATAAAAACAGATTCGGAAAGTGGGTCAAATTCTGTAGTGCCCTATTTAAAAAAAAATACGTTTATTTTAACCAAAAATATTTAAAAAAAATATTGTTTAAACAATTTATTAATTTACAACCAAATATTGGACTAGAACTTTCTAAGACCTTCCATATAAAAAAAACATCTCAATATCTGCCATAGTTTTTGCGTTATTTGATATAAACTTTTACATTGGAATTTAGTTTTGCTCAGAATCGCGAGGAACGGACTTAACCCTGAACTACGATCGTGGGGTCAAATTTGACCCCAGGACTTGAAATTTCGCGCGCCACTGGTAGACAGTTTGGCGAACGACCTTGTTATTATTGTATGTATTCTCCCAATTGCTTTTGGGAATGGTATCACACATTCCCATTAACTCGGCTCATAGGGCACAGAGCCACCTTCTCTGTCGCTCATATGAGTAATTCCTGTCTGGCGCGTCCATGTCGCGGGGGTGGGCATCTCTTGCTTCAGTAGACCGGAGCTAGTAGATGGCTAAGTTCAGATGGGGACCCAGTTCCGTGGGGTATAACACGGCCCCCTTGCCCAGGGATACGGGTGAAGACCA